GTGAGGAGGCCACCTGCCCCATCTGCCTGCAGCTGATGGCCGAGCCCGTGAGCATCAGCTGCGGCCACAGCTACTGCCAGGCCTGCCTCCTGAGCTACATGGGCCTGGCCTCCTCCCAGCTGAGCCAGCAGGACCTGGAGACCTTCTCCTGCCCCCAGTGCCGGGCTCCCTTCCAGAGAGGCAGCCTGCGGGCCAGCAAGCAGCTGGGGAACCTCATTGCCGCCATCAGGGAGCTGGAGCTGGAGCAGGAGCAGGAGCAGGAGCAGGAGCAGGAACAGGAGCTGTTTTGCCAGGAGCACGGGGAGCGGCTGCTTCTCTTCTGCGAGGACGAGGGCCAGCTCATCTGCTGGCGCTGTGAGCGCGACCCGAGGCACAAGGGCCACTCAACCTCGCTCGTGGAGGATGTGGGCCCCGTTTACAGGGTGAGTTTTTCCTCAATTGCCCGAGACCCCATCATCCAGCCCAGTGCCTCCTGGTGTGCCCGAGATTCCCATCATCCAGCCCAGTGCCCACTCGTGTTTCTGAGACACATATGATCCCGCCCAGTGGCCTCTCGTTCACCGGAGAACCTCATCCCCGAACCCAATGCCCCATCATGCTCCACTACCCCTTTCATTTGGCCCAGTGCCCCCAAGTTCACCCTGAGACCCAATCAACCACCCGGGGGCCCAAAGTTGGGACCCTGAATTTTAGCTTTCCTTGTGTGTTCTTCTAGATGAGGCGGGCAGTGGAGGGGGTCCTGGGGTGGGATGGGGGTGGAGGGTTGGGGTAGAAAGTGGCGGGAAGGTTTAGGCTGGGGCCTCCCTGAACCCAGTTTCGGCTGTCCAGCCCCACCTTCCCTGATAGTCAGACTCATCCAGGACCCCACCTCATCATGAAGTGGTTCTTGCTCCAGAGCGCCATGCACTCAAACACAGATATGTGTGGTTATTTGTTTTGTTTTGTTTATAAAATCTTCACCTAAGGATATTTATCTATTTATTTTTAGAGAGAGTGTAAGGGAGGGGGAGAGAGAGAACAGCATTGATCAGAGAGATATATAGATTGGTTGCCTGGTGAACATGCGGCGATTGGGGCCAGGAACTGCAGCCAAGGTATCTGCCCTTGACCCGAATCCAACCCGGGACCCTTCAGTCCATGAGCTGAGGCTCTATCCACTGAGCCAAACCAGCCAGGGCTGCACCTTCACATTTTATGGCCTCATAGTTGCCTGTAATGAGATGGAGCCGTGTGCGTAGGGAGGGTGGGAGATGAAGAACAGGGACCAAGCAAACCTCATGGTCAGCCTGCCCTCCAGTAGGGAAGACTCACCAGTGAAAGAACAACCTGGCTCTCCTGTCCTGGTTAGTGGGAAGGGGAACCCCAGGGTGGGGGTGGTCTCGTGGAGCCCTCCCACAAGGGAGTCCTGAGGAGCCTACACACTAAGCATGTGGCCCTGGCAGCCTGGCTCAGAAGTTGAGCATCCACCTAAGAACCAGAAGTTCACAGTGGGATTCCTGGTCAGGGCACATGCCTGGATATCAGGCTCCATCCCCAGTGTAGGGTGTGCAGGAGGCAAGTGATCCATGATTATCTCTCAACACTCATGTTTCAGTCTCTTTCTTCCTCTCTTAAAGCAATAAGAATATATACATATTTATAAACAAAATTTACGGCATGAAGAAGTGTGAGCATAGAGAGGGCTCTCCATGTGAGAGGACCCTGTGGCAAACACACAGCCAGGGGGCAATGGCGAGTAGGGAAAGGCAGGAGTCCCTGAGCCTTCCAATCAGCTCAGTCTAGGTGCCCGCAGGGTGTCCTATTAGCCCAGAGGAGGACCAGGTGACATTGGACAGAGAGCCCTGGGCACCGACAGTCAGGTCATTCCCGTGAGAGGGAGCAGCGAGGTGTGGACAGCAAGAGTCACTCCATGTCTCCCTCCAGGAGAAGCTCCAGAAAGTGGTGAGGAAACTGAGGCAACTGGAAGAGGAATGCGCCAGCCAGAGAGTGTTCACGGCCAAGCAGATAGCTGAGTGGAATGTGAGAATGGGGGCTTCTCGCCAGGGCCGCTGGAGGGCACCCCTGGGCTCAGGTGCAATCCCCACCCAGTGGGGGGTGTGCAGGAGGCAACTGGACGTCTTTCCCACATTGATGTTCCTCTCACTCTCTCTCTCCCCACCCTCCCTCCATTCCACTCCCCTCTAACAATCACTGGAAAGAACCTCCTCGGGTGAGGATTAACGCCAGCCACACTGAAAAGACACAGGTTTTTTGGTGTCAAACTCTTTTCTGTCCTGGCTTAGGTGTAGGGACTGACCGGGCAAAGCACAGTCACGGTGTCACTGAACCAGAGGGGGCAGTTGGAACGCTGAGAAGAAGCCATTGTCCTTGTTGTCCGCATGGATGAGAACTCCTCCCCTGTCCTTCCCGCCTTCCAGCAGGAAATGGCCGAGGGCAGTGCCTGTCAGAGATGCAGAATCACATGCCTGTTTACTGAGAGCCATCCCCACTGGGTTTCCTACTTTCTTTCTTTTTATTTTATTTTGTGTTTGTATTTCTTTCAGAGAGGAAGGGAGAGATAGAAACACCCAAAAGGAGAGAGGATCCTGGATGGACTGCCTCCTTCACGCCCCCTACTGGGGATGAAACCTGCAAACTGGGCATGTGTCCAGACCAGGAATCCAACTGTGACCTCCTGGTTCATAGCTGGAAGCTCTACCCTGAGACCCGCTGGCCGGGCTGAGCATCCTCTCTTGACTCTAGGAGAAGATAGAGGCTCGGAGACAGAAAATCCAGGAGGACTTCCAGAACCTGCATAGCTGCTTGAATGAAGAGATGTGGTACCTGCAAATACTAGAGAGCAAGAAAGAGCACACACTGCGGAGACTGAGCGAACGTGAGGCCAAACTGGAGCAGCAGAGCCGGGAGCTGGAAAGCTGCATCCTGGAGCTGGAGGAGCGATGCCAGGGCTCTGCCCAGAAGATGCTGCAGGTGAGGCTGTGCCCTCGGAGGACACCAAGGTGGCTGGTCCTGAGCTGCTCCGGGGGGAGGGACGTGGTTACTGTGGGAACAGGCAGGACTATTTTTCTTGCTCAGCAGAAGCACATCACTGTGGGGATTGAAAGGCATATTGCTCTTCTTTTTATTTAGTTATTTTGTTAATCCTCACTTAAGGGTATTGTTCCTTTATTTTAGAGAAAGTGGGATGAAGAGGGAGAGACAGAGAGAGAAACATCAATGAGAGAGGGACACATTGATTGGTTCCCTATCATAGGTGCCCCAGACCTGGGCTGGAGATCAAGTCTGCAACCAATGCGTGTGCCCTTGACCGGAATTGAACCTGGGACCCTTCAGTCCACAAGCTGACTCTCTATCCACTGAGCCAAACTGGCTAGGGCATAAAGGCATATTTCTTTTATTTTTATTTGTTGTCATTTTTTATATCATTTTTTTATGGATTTTGAGAGTAAGGGAGAGGGAGAGAGAGACGGAAACATCAACAATGAGAGAGAATCATTGATCAAGCCTGCAACCTGGACATGTGCCCTGACAGGGAATCAAACCCTGAATTACTGGTTCATAGGTTGATGCTCAACCACGGAGCTACACCTGCTGGGCTAAGCCTATTCTTTTAAAATATTGGACAGACTAAAATCTACAAGGGCTCTGTATATCAATCAGAAGTTTTTGACTTGGCACAAATATCCAGTGTGGCTCAGTGGATAGAGCATCAGCCTGAGGACGAATGGGTCCCAGATTCCATTCTGGTCAAGGGCATGTACCTTGCTTGCAGGCTTCTTCCTGTCCCAGGCCGTGGTCAAGACTTGTGCAGGAGGCAACCAACTGATGTGCTTCTCTTGGGTGAGGGTCAAGAAGAATAAAATCCCCCTGCCGGTAGAGGGGGTGGGTTCCTCGGCTGAACAGACTCCCGATATGGCTCCATCTTCCACGTGCCTGGGCCCCAGAGCACACAATCCTGACGGTCAGGTGATGCTGGGGACAGATAAGGCTGCCACGTGAGTGATGGGTGAGCCTGTCCTGCTGGGCCCTCCTTCCAGCCTCAGGAAGGTGAACTTCCTTTCTCACTCCCTCTTCCCTGGTGCTCCTCTCTGGTCCGGCTGGGAGAACTGGAGAGTGCCCAAGGGTGAGCATATCTCATGGCTGCTCCATCCCCGTGGGTCATTGTTGCTGCCAACTCAGTTTCCAGTCTGGGTGCTCACGCCCAACTCTGAGAGGCTTTGTGACACGTGCCCTCTTTTGGGGTGAGCTCTGAGGGAAGTGAGGCCAGAGGGAACATGGTGTCTCCCATCCTCCCAAGGAGCCTGCACGCTCCCCAACACCTCAGCAAGGAGGGCTCAGAGGCTGAGCTGTGTCCTGCCCGGCTGACCGTCCCAGAGGCCTGAGTGGGGATCCTTACACTGGGTGTCTATCTGTTTGGTACCCAGAATCCCCCAGGGCAGACTTGGGCCGCCTGTTGCTGTGTCCAATCACAAAGACAGGTTGAGGTCTATAAGGCGTTCACTGAGAAGGCCAGCCCACCAAGCAGACAGGGCGCTTACAAGCATCAAGTGCTGTCTCCCAGCAGTTACAGGGAAAGGAGTGTAAAGGGGAGGGGCTGGGGTGCTGTGTGCAGGCCTGGGGGTCTCAGCCGCCCGCTAAGTCCTTAGTCCCCAGACAATGAGATGGTGCTGATCAGATGGCGTTTTGGCTCCTGGTGACCCTGAGTCACTGGACTCACAGCTAAGTCACCTCCCCAATCACATGGCACAGGGTTTGGAAAGGAAACTTAAGAAAAACTTAACCCTGTTCCCATGTGAGAACCTTACCCCTGATCCCGTAAGGGTAATGTCCTCAGATGGGAACAGGAGGAGAACTTGCCAGAGTCGTTCAGGTGCTCTACCGACCGGGTTATAAGGCCCATCACACCCGCACCCAAGGCCGGGCTGCCCTGTGCCTCTGGGAGGAGCAGAGACCCATGAGCACGCTGCTCCCTCACTCACCTGTGCCTTTGCTTCCCGCAGGACGTGAAGGGCGCCCTGAGCAGGTGAGTGCTGGCGCCAGGGCGAGGAGGAGTGGGGTGCGGAGCTGCGGGGTGCCCGCTGAGCAGCTCTGGCCTCTGCTCCCCCAGGAGCCAGGCTGTGCGGCTGGAGACCCCGGAGGCCCTCTCCTTGGAGGTTCAGACCGAGTGCGAGGTCATGGAGCTCTACTTTGACCCGATGGAACAGTTGAGGAGCCTCCAAGGTGCGTGAGGGCCTCTGACCAAGCGCCCAGGGGACCGAGCTCAGGGCAGCCTCCGCCCTGCCCGGGTCGAGGGGACCAATGGGAGGGTTTCTATTTTATGGTCACAACTCTGAGCTGCCGTCGCTAGTTTGAAACAGGCTCAGAGTCCACAGCACAGGCTGGTCTTCTCTAAAATAAATGGTTTGGGAGGGGGGCCCCTCTCCAGCGCTGAACTCATAGCCAACCAGGGGCCCGCAGGGTGGAGTGTGCATGGTCTCCGGGAGCCCTTTGCATGCCCACAGGGAAAAGGTCCCAGGAGGGGTGCCCAGCCTCCTCTTCCCCACCCTCCAAGGGGACATTTTTAGAACAAACGTGACCCCAGGACCACATCCCCAGCAGAATCGGGAGTCTGAGTCCACCATGGCTAAACCCCAGGTGGTTGTGATTCCCCTGTGAATGCCCACGCTGTGTCCTAGCGCCGTCAATTCTACCCTTGAGCTTCTCATTACACAGGACCCTGCGAGGATGGTTTCCCTCTGTCCATATTGGTTTGGGATTTCTTGAACCATCTGACAGGGCTGCCTGGCAGTCATGAAACTGACATGGAACAGTTTGCAAAGACCCTCCATGGCCTGGTCACCACGGACGAGGCTCTGCAGGAACTTGTGGACATCATGTATGAACAGGCCACGTCCGTGCCAAGGTTCCAGGGAGTCGGAGCTCACCTGTGCTATTACCTGTTCTTTCACCCAACCGTTAGCTCACAGGGGGGCAGCTTCTGCCGAGTGTTCAGTCAAAGATTACAGACTGAATGTGACCTTAGATATCAAGCTGCCAATGGGGATGAAGCAGCTCGGAAACGATTCCATGGGTTCGTGCTCTTTCTGGGAGAACTTTATCTTTGGGTGAAGATCGAAGGGGCACAGGCACAGGGTACAGCAGCTCATCTTCGGGGGCTGTTGGATGCCCTCCTCTCTAACCCTGTGGACGATAACCTGGTGTGTGCGGTACAATTACTGAAGTTGACAGGGCCCTTGAAGGAACAGGGAAAGAAAGACATGGAGGAAGTTATCCAGAAGGTTGCGAATGTCGCCCTGGATGCACCTTGCAGTGAAGATGTGAGGCAGATGGTCTTGGAGTTCGTACAGCTCTGGTCAAGTAACTGGGGGAGAGTCCATGCCACCTCCGCACCCAAGAGAAGCAGCACCTGAGAATGATCCCAGCTGTTCTGTATCTGAGCCACCTCTGGGTCCAGCGGATGGTGCTCCTCTCACTGCAGCTGATCCCGATGACCAAGCTTCCTGTCAGGGGAGACATGAGGGCGGGAGAGGGAGTGGGGAGGGGGAGGGCGAATGTAATACAACAATCAAGATTTATTAAACAAATGAAGAGTGACTTGAGAGAAGAGACTCTTTTTCCAGATCGTGGGGAAAATGGACAGATGTGTTGGGCTGGTGACTGAGCTGGGAGGCTACGGACGATGAGGTGGACCCAGAGGCTTGTGCTCAGTTTTGTTGGGAACCAGAGCGTCCGCGGAAGCATCGGGTTCAGTGTCCACGGGTCCGTGTTGGGAAGCCGTGCAGGTGATGGGGGAGCGGAACGCAGGGAACCTGTCACACGTGGACCCAATGTGGGATGTTGAGGGATGTGACTAATGTACGCACCTTCACTCATGTATGACGCTCTGTGCCACAATGAACCTTATGCCCTAGAACTTATAATAAAATAATGTAAAATAAATAAAATAAACTGTGTTGCCCTAGCCCAATGCTGATGAGAGAGAATCATCCATTGGCTGCTCCTGCTGCCCAGCACTGGGGATGAAACCCGCAACTGGGGTGGATGGAACTGGGAGCTCCTGGCTTGTAGGACACTCCACCCCTGACACACAGGCTGGGCCGTGCAGTCCTTTTGCTCTAAGTGCCAGCCCCACAGTGACCTGGGGCCTCCCTGGCTCCAGGCTCCCAGCTGGGTCCTGGCTGCTGGTGATGCTGAGGAGTGTCTGACCCTGCACAGCGCCCTGAGGAGGAGGAGAACAAGAAGGAGGAAGAGGAGGAGGGCGGAGGTCACCAGCCCTTTCCACCTCCCCCTTCAGAGCAGTGATGAAGAATAGGGACCTAAACATGGCAGAAAATGAGATAGCATCTGCCCCTGAGAGGGTGGGTGAGTGGCCAGGGCAGGGAGAGCTGCAGTGGGACCTCTGGGCTGTGCTGCTCCCCGAGCTCAGACGCTCCTGCTGGCCCAGAGCCCAAGTCCGGTGAGGATCTGTCCCCGATCCTCGTGACGGCAGAAGGACTTCTTCCCACCACTCCCCACCCTGCCAGGTCCAGCCCCGCCAGGTGCACACACTTAGGGCCCAGCTCAGCCACAGAAATATGCTTAGGGCCATTTCCTGGTTTCCTCTCTAAACCCAGCAGAGGCTCCACCCCCACAGAATGCAGTTTCATTTTCCTTTGGAGTCCGGCCTACAGCCTGGGAAGCGGCTGCTCCAGGCGACTCCCTACAGCAAGTGCGTGGCATTGGTGGTGGCCCAGGTACTGGGGAGGGTTGGGGCAGGTCTCCCAGGGAGGGTCCTGACACCCAGTGTGTGGACAGGAATGAGGGTGGGGGAGGGGGAGGGCACGGCTGGGTGGCAGGGAAGAGCGGGTTTCATACACAAGGGCCTCTGGACTCTGACCCTCCAGGCCTCTGCCAAACAGCCCTTCCCTGAGACCGCTTTCCTTCCAACGAACTCCAAGCTGGTCCAACCTCAAGGAGATCCGGGGTGTGAAGGGAGGGAAGTGGAGGCTGGGATAGTCCCCCAGGGCCCCCGGAGGGCAGGTCCTGTCCTGGGGACATAGCCCAGCCACAGAGGACACCAGTGTGTGCCCGAGATTCACCCGCCCAGGATGGGGCTCTGAGCAGAGACGTTGCCTCAGAGGCTGCCCTGGTGACAGAGGAAGAGGCCATCCGGGAGTCTCAGGGATTGGGCTGTTTCTCCACCATTGTCAGGTCCAAGCAAGGTCGCTCTGCAACCTGCCCGCCTCCCTCTGCTCCCAGGAGGACAGGCCTGGCTCTGAGGAGCTGCAGCCCGGGCCAGGGTCCCTGGGTCTTTCCTTGGCTCTCAGGTTCCTGGGTCCTCCCTGGAGGAACTTGGGGTGTTGTCTTCCCATTTGCCCCCCTTCCCCAGGGTTCCAATTGCCTGGAACTTCTCCTGGGAGACAGTCCTGGCTGGAGGGGAGAGGTCACCTGACTGGTCCTCCGAGACCCACCCGTCTCTGCCCACACCTGGTCTTTCCTTTAAAAAAAAAAAAAAAAAATAGATTTTATTGATTTCAGAGAGGTAGGGAGACAGAGAAATATTGATCATGTTTCCCCTGTATGTGCCCCACGGGGAATGGAGCCCACAACCCAGGCCTGTGGCCTAACCGGGAATGGAACCCTGACCTCCTCCTCCAGTAGTCCACACTCCACCCCTGAGCCCGCCAGCCAGGCGCCTCTCAGGTCAGGAAGGGCCTGGAGGGCAGCCTTGTTTACTTCCAGGTCATCCCGCTTGGGTTTCACTGGAGCGGATTTTTCCAGTGTTTCTTACAGAGAACGAAAGGGATGGCAGCTGGAGAGGGAGAGAGAGAGAGACCTCGGGAATTGAACCCAGACAAGTCAGTGAGCAGTGGACGCTCTGCTACTGAGTGCACTGGCCAGTTTTCGTGCTCTGTGGGGGGCAGTCGGGTTGGAGGCTGGGTGTGAGCCTTAGCGGGTCCACAGTCACTGTTCCAATGGAATCTTCCGAATCAACCCGGTTCCTTAAGTTGCAAAGAAAGGATCCTAGAACCAGTTATTACAGATTATTCCTCATGTTCCTCAGGGGAGAGAGTCTCCCAGGCCCTGACTGAGTCCTGGGGGGCATCCCGCCTCCTTCTCACCCTCCCTGTGTCTGGGGTTCCAACACCACCTTCCCCCATGACAGATGGTCCATACTCGGGCTTCATGCAGCCCCCCACCCCGTGGCCATGAAGCAATTGAAATATGACCAGTTCTGCCAGGCGTGAGTCAGTGGATAGAGCATTGGCCTGTGGACTGAAGGGTCCTGGGTTTGACTGAGGTCAAGGTCAGGTACCTGGGTTGCAGGTTCCCTCTCTGGCCCTGGTCAGAGTGCATGTGGGAGGCAACCAATGGATGTTTCTCTCTTTCTCTCCCCCTCCCCAGCACTCTCTCTACAAATCAATGGAAGAACACCCTCAGGTGAGGATAGCCCTGAAAGTTAAATTCTATTTCATTGTAGTCAATGGAGTTGGGGTCCTATCCTGTTCCACAGCACAGCTGCTCTGTGCATTGTCTACATTGCAGACCTTTCTTCCTCCAGATAATCCTCAAGGCCCGTGGGGACACGGCAGCCAGGCACCCACAGGAACCCTGAAGTGGGTGTGTGGCCTCTGCTCTGGGGAGCCTCTGGGTCCGGCATTGCAGGACTCGGCAGAGGCATGGCGTCGGCCACCACCAGCAAGAAGATGCGTGAGGAGGCCACCTGCTCCATCTGCCTGCAGCTGATGGCCGAGCCCGTGAGCATCAGCTGCGGCCACAGCTACTGCCAGGCCTGCCTCCTGAGCTTCATGGGCCCGGCCTCATCCCCCCGGAGCCAGCAGGACCTGGAGACCTTCTCCTGCCCCCAGTGCCGGGCTCCCTTCCAGAGAGGCAGCCTGCGGCCCAGCAAGCAGCTGGGGAACCTCATTGCCGCCATCAGGGAGCTGGAGCAGGAGCTGTTATGCCAGGAGCACGGGGAGCGGCTGCACCTCTTCTGTGAGGACGAGGGCCAGCTCATCTGCTGGCGCTGCGAGCGCGACCCGAGGCACAAGGGCCACGTCACCTCGCTCGTGGAGGACGCAAGCCCAGGCTATAGGGTGAGGTCCCCGTCGTGTGCCCGAGACCCCATCATCCAGCCCAGTGCCCTCTTGTGCATGGCCTGCTATCCTATAGG